ACTTGCTGTTGCAAGGAGAACAGTTTCGGCGCAGCATCAAAGCAGGAGGACTGTGAATATTCAGGGCGCAGAATATTCTAGGAGGATTCAAGACATTCCACTGTTTTCCCTTGACATGACTCATTCTATGTCCATATGACTCATTCCATGCCTTTATGACTCACTCCCTTACATATGACTCATGCTATGCGGATATGACTCATTCTATGTCAATATGACTCATGCTATTCCCTTCTATTTATAGAGATGAGTCATGTTGACTCAGCCTATGCTCAAGGACCAATCACAAGTCCCCAAGCTAGCTGACTCATCCTATTTTCTCACACTATTGTACACTATTCTCTCACACTATTGTCTATGTTGCCTAGTAACCAGGCAATTCTCCCACCCTATTGTTATGAATTTCAAATTACTGTAGGGTATATAAGGAGCTCAGTAGACAGTCTTAGAGAGAGACCCCCATCATAATAAGAGACCCTCTAAATACCAGAGAGCCTCATTGGTTCAAGTCAGCCTCAGAATCAGTTGTACTACTGTGTGCATCTGTACTGTCTTGGTTCCACAAAGTGCTGGAACAAGCAGTGCTAGTCTGGACTTAAGCTATCTGTGATACCTCAGAGAAGGGAAGGACTTGCAGTACTGTCTGCTGTCTGCCACAGCTAGTCTGTTTCTCTACCGTGAGAAATACTTCAGTCTAGGTTTGGTGTTGGAAGTCTAGTCGTAGACCTCTGGTCACCTGTGTTTGCTCTCTACCCTCATCCTCAGCTAGACTCTGGTAGTCAGCTATTTTGCTTGTTTAGTTATCTGGAGATTGAAACAAAGAGTTTTAACCTCTATAAAGCCTATACTCTCCCTCATCGAACACAAGGGAACTGCTTGACCAACGACAAATCCAGCATTCTCTTGGGGAACTTGATGACTGTGCCACTTAGAGATATCTAGGTGGTATTATATCAATTGCAAGTTCTGCTGACACCGGGTGCCGGTGGACACCTGAAGCCAGTCCCGAACGCGAAGCAAGAACTTGATTCGCTTGTCATCGGGAAGCGAGACTTGCTTCAGCGTTAAGTCTCAAAGGAAACCTAAGTATTTGAAGGTGAAGTCAAAGTCTTGTCCCTTGTCCTTGTGCCAGGGTATGCGAAGTGAACTGATGCGTGCCAGCGCTTCAGCCCTGTCGTAGAGGTACGAAAGGCTCCCTCCCAGCTCAGCAGGCATGGCGGAAGGAAAACAGAAAGTGGCATTGCCATCCACCCACTTTACTGACGGACCAACACCCTTCTTCTCCCAGATGTCCATCGCAGCATTCGCTATGGAGCCTGCATTGCTCTCAGATGAGCAGCAGCCAAAGGGACAGCCGTGGTCAATTCAAAAACCACGATGGCTTTGCATCACAAACCAGGGCTTATGGTCCGGGAGGATCAGGCAGGTGCAGTGAAATTTTGCAGTATCAAGGGTCATGGCTTGCGCGCCCGATGGTGCTGCAGATACCTGGACAGGAGTCTGGCATGAGCATAAGGATTGGGCGAAGGAGCAGCCTAGAATGACAGAGCCACGGGAGAAGGAGCATCCCGGGCTACCAGGCGACACGGGTGAAGGGCAACCCGGTACCAAAGGGTGAAGAGCAGCCCAGGGCAGAGAGCCAACGCTCACAGGCAGTGTAACCACCTGGAGGGGGAGAGAGGAGTGTATGGTACTCACTATGTCTGCAACTTCATGAGCCGAGCTGAAGCGTGTAGGAAAATCTTCTGTCAAGATGTGATCATCTGTAGATGGATGCAGCTTGGAGCCCTTCGAGAGATTCTGACAAAGCCGGAGCTTGCAAGGCTCACCTGGGCCTTGAGGCTGCTTGGAGACAGTAAGCGGCGAGCATTGGAAGGGCCTGAGGATCATCTCGACTTGTTCCTTGGTAAATGGGCCACTGACCTGACCAGTGGCCGCTTCCTTGTCAAGATACTGTTCGATCTTGGTATGCTGGTCGCAAGAAGGGTGATTGGGGAAGATAACTGATTTGGCAAGAGGTATGGAGAAGTCACCCATAGGGAAACCTTGATTGAGCTGTTGTGGCAAGTCAGGATGGGTGTCGGCGAGGTCATGGGCAGCTAGCAAGGTCTCAAAGGCAGTGGAATCATAGGGCCTACAGATATGGTTCTTGATAGCAGAGCAGCAGATGTTGTCAAGATGGACGTGAGGGGTGTCTGATAAGCAGGTCAGACAAGGAGTGCTTGATGAAGGTTGCAAGTTAGGCGGAGGCATTGGGCTTGCACGTCCAGGAAAAAGCGTGGCAGGAGGCAGTGCCGCAGAAGCAACAGATGTGCTTTTGGGATGCTGAGTGCTTGTCGAGGAATTGTCCCCCGTCCCCAGCAACATTCCATCGTTGGCAGATCTCGTCTGCCTTGCCTCTGGCATAGAGCGAACCATTTCGTGCTTTGGCGAAGACTTGTGCGCCATCCGCAAAGCGGTTACTGGAGCAGTCAGGTACGAGGTGCCCCTTCTTGGCGCAGATGAGGCAGACAGAAGCCGAAGGGTCACTCCCGCTGCCCATCTGAAAGGGCAGGAGCAAGCCTCATCCCTGCGATGGTCCTTGCCTGCTGAAACCACGTCCATGGTCTCCTGAGCTTTGTCCTCCCTGCTGGGCATGGAAGGAGCCTTGTGAGAACTTTGACATGAGTGACATGGCTTTAGAGAGAGTGGAGTCGGACTCAGCGCGGTACTTCTCATTGATCTGTGCCTTGACATCAGCATGATGCTCCAGGAACTTTGTGTGGTAATAGGCTGGGTTGAAAGTGAAGGGTTTGATCCTATACTCCTTCCGCAGCTCGATGTCAGTCATGCGGATGGCGGGCCAGACCTTTTCAAGCTCTGGAAGTGCCAGAAACCATCGGAAGTGGTCTTCCCAGCGCCGAACGTATTTCCCGTCACCAATCTCACCGGCAAAGTGGACATAATTGTCCACCGCCTGGCGCCAGTCCCCGAAGTCCATCTTCTCTTTGTCGGGCAACTGTGAGGTGTCCAACATGCGCACTTCATCAGCAAAATGGCAGCCCACGCTAAGGCGCTAAGTACCGCTAAGGTGCCCTTACCAAGCTCCTTAGCTCTAACTCTCTGAGTTTCTTAGCCGATGCTGTAGAGGGCGGCAGAGCAATATACATGGCTCTGTTGATCATAGATGTACATGTAATGTATACCAGTAGCACTAGACAAGGGTGGAGACTCATAATTCGGGAGTTGCTATCATTCAAGGCAAAGGCTGAGTCCATCATGAAGCAGTTTTTGGCACTAACTAGTGTAGCCTTGTAGTGCAACGGTTATATCGTATGGCTGGGTATGGCAGGCGCTGGTTTGAATCCTAGTGGTGGTAGCATTTTTCTGTTCTCTCCCCACTTATTTCTTGCCTGAGTGTTCTTAGCACATTAATCAAGGACTTAGCTAAGTCTCGGTGCTGGGCTCAGGGGGTGGGCCCCCATGACTTAAGACCATGGACTTGGTACTTATTTGCCTGAGATTAGTTCTTAGCTTCGCTTAGACGGTCATGCTGTTTTGCTGATGTTTCGAGTCAAGCTTCATTTTGGGGAGCCAATCACCTTTCTGTAAAAGCAACTTGTGCTCCTTGGGAGTAAAGAGGGTGATCGGGATATACTGGTTATTGTCAAAAAGGGTGAACAGTTCCTTGTGAAACATTCCAAGCTGAATGGACTCGCCCGGCTGGACCTCCACCTCATCATCTGTTGACTTAAGGACTCTCGGCTGCTTGGTAGCCAGGAGCTCTGATGTCTGTTCATCGCCCTTTTCCTGGAAAAGGTGCCACTTGAACTCCTGATAAGCACGATAAACAGCTGCTGAGCCAGGGGACAAGTTGGAGGTATCCAGGTTATCCAATGAGATCTTGTTTGGAAGTGGTGTTCTGGGGTGTCCGTCCTCCTCACCGCCACTGCCGCCATTGTCTTGGACCAAGATCAGCGACACTAATGACAAGGTCCTCAAGAGGGCCGAGAGCACCTGGTCTGACTCTCCGGTGCCAGGCCTTGAGGCAGCCGCTTCCCAGATCTGTACTTTAGTGCTGTTAGCGTTCTGATGCTCCCTATTGACCTCCTCTTTTTGCGCATCCGAAAGCGATGCGACCCAGGTCATCCAGGCCTCAGGGTTTGATGACTTGTGCTTTGGTGGTTGGGAGACCATTTTCTGAATTATGATTGGTGTATTTTGAAAGTCGTGGAGTAGAGTAGAACTACTATTAATAAGGCAGGAGTCATTGGGAGTCGCAAGAGCAAAAGAATACGGCGACGAGCCAAGCTGGCGAGCGACATGTAATGTAGAGAGAAGAGAGAGTGCTGAGCACACCTAAGGAAACAGCCCACGTGGGATGTCGCGTGCTCAGTGTGGGGTCTCTTTGCTCGCCCTTAGCTTGGCTCGACATAAGTCTGAGCCGTTCGTTCCTCACGTCATCCTTGTAGAGCAGAATGGTACTGTACTTCATTTCTGGGGCTGGATGGTACTGTGGATGTATATGACTGGCCCTATAGAGGATGGTACTGTACATGAATGGCTGGCCCCATACATGACACTGTAAATGGTACTGTGAATCATTCCAGGCTGGAACACCGGGACTGTGGATCAAGATGCCAGAGCATTATGAGTGCTATTAATAGAAGTCTGGCCTCAAAAGCTTCTATAGGGCTAAATAAAATCAGGAAAATGTGGAAGATTTTGGAAGATATTGATGGATAGGTATGATGCTGATGCACATTATGTAGTAGGTAATCATCTGCTAAAAATAGCAAAATATGATATGGTAGTCCCCATTTATGTGCTCCTTGCCCTTATGGCATTTATTCCCAGGGGTACTGTGGATTAGTGGGTAGAAAGGTGCAAATGGGATTAATGGCATTAATACACTGCTTGTGTGAGCTATGTGGTTGCAGGAATTTCTATTTCTTACGGCTGGCTCTGGGTCAGTATTGTGCAATTTCCTGGTGCAATACTAGCAAGAACTCTATGCCCCTTTGATGGTGTGATCACCTAATATATGGCTACAGGTTTACTCAAGTGTGGGGGAAGTCTTTCAGTGGTGCCGCTCCTGGAGTGTTCCCCCAGTGACCACCAGTAGGTCTGATGGTCTAGATAGCCTCTCCCTAGTGTACAGAGGGGCATATCACCAATGCACAACAATCCCTGCACAAGTCAGGTCACTATAGATTGAGATATATGGATACACTACCAATCTGACTGAAAAACAAAAAGATGTTACTATACTGCAAGGATGAGGCATCACGTCTTCCTGCAAACACTTGCTCGCACCTCCCAATGTATAGCCCCATGAGATTTCCACCTTATACCAGCCACCTCATTGCAGCTCATGTATTGGAGTTTGTCAGTTTCTGGGACAGAGCTGGAACTCACCTGTAGTAAGCTTGTCCCTAATTGATACTTCTGCTTCTGGTGTACTGGGACCAAGAGACAAGTGGGATGGCAAGGATAAATTTCATGGGGCATACATAGGGAGGTGCCAACAAGTGTTTGGGGGAAGATGTCATATCTCATCCTTGTGGTATAGTAACATCTTTGTGTTTTTGAGTCAGGCTGGTAGTGCATCCGTATAGCTCCATATATAGTGACTTAAATTGTGTGAGAATTGTTGCGCCTTGATGGTATACCACTCTATACACTAAAGAGAGTCTGTCTAGGCCATCCATCCTACTGGCAGTGATAAGCCTCTGGGCTCATCTGACCCCTGAAATTGCAAAATCAACACTTCATCCACACCCTCCAGAGTCTATTCAACATTGCACTCACACGTTCCTACACTATGATTGGCTCAAGACAATGTTGCAATTTAACTCTGAACTTCCTAGAGTCCTCGAGGCAAGCACGGATCTTTCCGATTATTTAGCTCTGAGGTCAGGTGCTCCAGAGTGACTCAGGAAGTGACTTTGAGAAGAATTAGCTCCGGTGACCATGGGCACCTGTCTAGTTGTGAGTCATCCTCATGCCCAACTTCCAGCACTTCCTCCCCTTTGTCTCCATCAAATTTACCCAGCTTGTGAACATAAATTCATGACCATGAGGCCAGTATCAGTCAGCAAGCAGCTGGAGTTTGTTCACACCTGACCCACATGTTACCAGCATGATGGGAAAATTCAGGGCAGGTACTGACACATTAGGAAGATCTCTAGGGGGTAGAGCAAACATGTGGGAGGACGAGGGAGTCATATGGTATGTGGTATAGCAGTGGAGGAGTGTCGAGCAGGTAGGAAGTTGCAGCCTTTATTTGTTATTTATCTCCAGGTGGTTGCAGGGTCATTTCTGTAGTATAAACTGTATGATGCAAAATAAAGTAAAAACAAGTCCGATCTTCACCATTTCAGTGTATCAGAGTTACAGTCTTAGTGACCCTTGAAAGTTCAAATACCTTGAACTTAGCGAATTATAATTGATCCTAGGGGCTCCGGTGGCTCAGTGGATATGCCAGTCCCGTCCTGGGTTTGCTTCGGCAAGCGCCGGCCTTCAGTCACAGGCCATGGTGATAAGCCTCAGGATCGTCTGACCCCTGAAAACGCAGACTCAGCACACCGTACAAGCCCCGCAGAGCTTATTCGACACAGCACTCACATGCCTCTAGGCTTCTATGGGCTCTAAAGAATTGCTCTATTTAGCTCCAGACTTCCTAGCACCCTCAAGGCCTACACAGATCCATTCCATGATTTATCTCTGCGAATAGGAGCTCCGGAGCGACTTAACCAATGCGACTTCTAGATGAATTAGCTCTGGGGCCTGCGAACACTTCTATCGAGAGGTGTCGTCCTCATGCCCAACCTCCAGCACTCACTCCCCCTCGTTTCCATCAAAATACCAAAGGTGCGGACGGATACGAGTCACCATGAGGTCAGCATCAGTCAGCAAGCGGCCGGAGGTAATTAGCACGTGACCTGCGCGTTGCGCGGAGTGATGGGACCGCTTAGGTCAGGTGGCGGAGCGTCGAAGCGACCTCTAGGGGCTGGGACGAGCAAGTGGGAGTGCAAGCGAGTCGTATGGTGCATGGTATAACAGTGGCAAGTGCTGAGCAATCCTGGGGGTAGCACTGTTTATTTGTTATTTATCTCCGGACAGTCGCAAAGCCATTCCTGTAGTATAAATTGTACAAAGTAGGGTACAGGAAAACAAGTTTTGCACTTCACCATCTCAGAGAATTAGCGTTACGATCTCAGCGACCCTCGAAGTTCGAAAGCATCGAACTTAACGAATTATAACTGATCCTAGCTTTGCCAATAGGCCTGACTCGTCAAGTGATTTATCTCCGCCATTGATTTAATTACCTCCGGTGAGTCCTACATAGTGAAATAAAGTTAACCAAGTCTCTCTAGCAATTTCTACCCCTGTGAGCATGATCCTACGACAGGTGTCATTGCTTGCGACTTTGATTGCGATGTTTCGGAGATAAATCCTCCGGAGCATCAACTAGCATTTGTTTCAGGTGTCAAAGTGTTTGTTTTATTTTTCTAGGTCTTCCTATGGACTACCCTATGTCGTCTTACTCCTCCTTCCCCCTTGAACTATTAAAATACCCCTCAGTTGTCTCGGACCGCCTCCACCCATACCGCTAGTGTTAGGTTTATTTCTTTTGGTCCTTGGTGATTGTTGTGTGTCTGTGCATATCAGCAGGTTCGAATCCCGCAGGAACCATCAGGGAGCTTTAGTGGGTATTGCGTGTTTAGCTGAGTCCCACAGTACCATGGGAAATCCTTAATGTCAAAGGCTCTTTCTCACGCGTCTGCGTGAATGCATTTCTTCCTGGAGAGTTAGCGCTCTTCCGCTTACAGTCCGCTACATACTAGATTAGGGCAAAGTGTCCCTAACTGGTGCAAGACCCCTGCGCTATGTGCCCGACTGCTTGAGGCTGTACCAATTGTCAGTTGTCAAGTATGTCATTGTGCCTCTCAAAAACAATAATCATAATTGATCCTAGCTTTGCCAGGTCTGACTCATTGAATTAAATATCTCCACCATTGAATATTAACTCCCATGAGTGCTAGTTTATAGAAATAAATCAACAGAGCATCTTTAGTGCAGTACTACCCAGCATGCACAATCCTATGAGAGGTGTTGATGCCTGCAGTCTGGTCTTTTAGCAATCTTTGGAGATAAATACTCCTGAGCATTGGACCATTGTTTGTTTTAGGCCTCATGGTTTTATTATTCTAGGTCTTCCTATGGACTCCACTACGACATCTTACTCCTCCCTTCTCCCTCAAACTTTATGATTACCCTTCAGTCATCTCATAGGTTATTTCCCTTGGTCCTTGTGGTCCTTGTGTGTTAGTGCATATCAGCAGTTGTTGGGGGAACACTCCAGGAGCACCACCACTGAAGAGTGGCAGGTATTTATCAAGCAGTTGGATTTTCCCATACTCTTGGGTAAACCTGTAGCTATATGTTATATGACCATGCTCTCAAAGGGGCATAGAGCTCTCACTACCATTAGATATAGCAAATGCAACACCAGCTGGACCCAAAAACACAAACATGTCACTTCTCCACAATGGAGACATGTGCAAATGGTTGCTAACATGTCTCCAGGTATGCCCCTTCAATCACCCTGGTTGTTCCATCCCAATGGTATGTCCCAATTCAGGACAGTGCAGCAGTAATGTCAGACAGTCCCAGGTTGCTGCTCAGTCACGGCTGTGTGCCCTAGCTAAGTGGCAACCATAGCACTATGACCTGGGGAAGAGCCTGGGATTGGTGGGACAAGCTGGGTCATTGAAGGGGCATACCTGGAGACCTGTTAGCCACCATTTGTGGGAGGATATCACATGTCTCAATTGGGGAGCAGTGACATGTTTGTGTTTTTGGGTACAGCTGGTGTTGCATTTGCTATATCTAATGGTGCGCTGGGTTCTACACTACAAGGAGGGGTATAAGCTGAAAGCGGTAGCTGGATGGGATCTGGTCAGAATCTCTTGGACTCTTAAGTAAACCTGTAGTCTAACATGGTCATAAAAGGGTGTAGTATTGTAATTTGTATTGGTAGTGCAAAATGCAAAAAGAACAATGTTGGAGCTGGTGTTAAAAGTATGTTTCATCATGTAAGAGAACTTAACAGCAAGTTATCAATATCACCAAACAAACCAGGCCCAGAAATGCAATACATAATTCTTCCACTTGATCTACAAAAATATACA